CCTGCTGTCCAGGCACCCCCCTGCAGTCACTGAGCTGCCTGGGAAACACCTTTATCAGGCCTTACAGCTTCCCAGAAGCAGCTGCATTTGTAACAGCCTCCAAACCAGGTGACACCTGCTTTTATCACAAAAGAGCCCGATCTCTGCCCTCACACGCCGCCCCTAAGGCGACAATCAGCTGAAGGAGGCTGAAGCCACAGCTAAATGCACTTCTTGCTGCCTGCTGCTCCTCAGCCACAGGTCCGTAAAGCTTCTAGCTGTGCCAAGAGGCTCCAGCAATCCCAACCTTCCCGTTTAGCGGCGGTTTCCAGAGGGCTGCTCACCTGCCAATGTTCCTACTGTTCTCAGTAGGTTAAAACCAGGTTACCTGGGGGAGTATTTGTGGGTTTGATTCGTGGGTTTGTTTTTTTTCTTTCCTTTTCCAAACAGGAATCGCAGCTCACACACGGAATTACTCCTAGGAGCTGATGCAGCTGAAAAACTAAAATTCCACATCGCTGCTTTCCGAAAGCAGAAGGCAGCGAGTTCCTCCAACAGCAGCGGGGGTAAAAGGAGTCAATGCAGTGACCTCCCACCAGCCCTCAGCCTCCCTAAAGATGCTGCCTCCCGTGGAGCTCGCCTCCTCGGGAACACCAGTTCAGGCTCTCTTTGCAGCCCACACAAACGTCAGAGGCCTTGGGCGAACAGCCTGAACTTCAGCTACTCCGTAGGGAAGGACTGAGTCACTCACCGGCGTGACAGCAGCACAGTGAAAATACACTGGTTCTGGCATGGCAGCTGGGAGCTTGACCCACTGGAAAGTTTGGAGATTCAGCTTCCAGACGTCTCCCAGAATCACTTCTCCGTTGTAGCCCCCGCAAACGAACACATCTGCAAGAGAGGAAACCCACGGTGCTTACGGGCCCTTCAGCAGCTGCAGGACGTGCCGTGGTTGAAGCCAACGATCACCTCCGTTTATTTTACCTCAAGGTGAACTCTCAGTAACTCCCAAACCAGTTCCACCACAGTGTTCATACCCACAGAGGCCACTTACAGAACCACAGAACGCTTTGGGTTGGAAGGGAGCGTTAAAACTCACCGAGTCCAACCCCCTGCCACGGGCAGGGACACCTCCCACCGGACCAGGTTGCTCCCAGCCCCATCCAGCCTGGCCTTGAGCATTTCCAATGATGGGGCATCCACCACCTCTCTGGGCAACCTGCTCCAGGGTCTCACCACCCTCATGGTAAAACATTTCTTCCTTACGCCCAGTCGAAACCTCCCCTCTTTCAGTTTAGAACCATCACCCCTTGTCCCGTCACTACAGGCCTTGGCAAAATGTTTCTCTCCACCTTTCTCATCAGCCTCCTTTGTACACCAAAGGCCCTCTCGTGAAGGCCCTAAACGCTGCTGAGAAGCAGGAGTGCAGTGCAACTCCCGCTTTAAGAAGCTGTACTAAGCCCCAGCTCACCTGAGTTCACAGGCACCCAGGTTTGATCAGATTCTAGTGGTTTCAAACCCACGGGGAGCAGCCCCAGCCCCGGCTCCTCGTCCTGCCGCCTGCCAGAGGTAGGTCCCTGCTCACAGCTTTGCCCAAGTTCTCAATTTGAGGCCTGCACTGCAGCAAAATTCTGCTGCTGAAGGTGACTGGAAGCAGGTCCCAGCTCCTGCTTTCCTTTCACTGGCACAATTAGTGCTCCTAAGAAACAGAATCAGGCGTTGTCGCTCTTCTGCAAGGCTCAGCACCCTTTAACACACAGCGTTCAGCCATCGATCTGAAGAGGTTTGGAAAGGATCAATATTGTAACTGCCTCCTCAGTCCGTTATGAGCAATTTGGGTTTGACCAAGTTCAGGGGAATGCGTTCTTGGAGGACGACGAGGCTACGGGAGAGGCCCAAACCTAGGTGAAGGAACCTGCTACCCTTCAGAATTGTGGGCAATTGGGTACGGATTGCACAGGCAGAGCCTCCTCTAAGCTGTGCCTCACGCGGCGCCGTGCAAGGGATTCACAGCAAGAACATCTGGAGGATCAAAGCGAAGAAGAAAAGGGCTCTACGAAGCTCCGTGCAGCTCCGGACACATAAAACTGCCCTCGCTTTGCCGAGAACAGGAAGACTCAGGTGCTGACTCTGCTACTGCCTCATAATCCACTCCCCGTGAGCCTCTTGGATTTCCAACACCCACTAGCAAAGTAATCCCTGGAACAATTTTGTCTCTAAAGAACTCGGCTTCCAGCACTTTGCTTTTCACAGTGGACTGTAAAGCTAACAGGTTAGTCCCCGAGCTGTAGCTCGAGCATCACTGATACCCGTTGGTGAGCTTGCAACCAAGAAGCTGCAAAGCATCATGGACACTCGAGGCTAAAACATCTCACACTGAAGCGCTCGCACGTCCAAAGGAGATTCACGTGCTGCCTAAAATACTGCGGAATTCCAGAGAGCAACGAGAACTCCTCTTCCAGAAAAAAGACACGTGTGCCCTGCAGTTCCCTCCAACACTGGAGGCCAGCATCTCCCAGGCTGGAAGGATGGGCTTGTCACTGCTAGGTTGTGGAAGACACACCCGTTTTTCAAGAGGCAGATCTTACCGTTTTTTATCTGAACGCAACTATGGCATCTTCTGGCTGCTGGGAAGCCTGAGGAGAACAAAAAAAAAACCCAAGAGCGTCAATTATAGTTGCTTTAAAGTGCTTGGGCAAGCGGTGATTATATCTAAACATACAACCATGGAGAGGAGTCACTTGTTTCGTGTATAAGGGGCTTCTGCTTTCCTACAATCACAGGTAGAACACCTCTCATTTAGCAAGCAGCTGTTCCACGTTTGACTCCTAGTTCCCCTCCAGCGAAAGGAAGAAATGTGCTGGAATCTCATCCCCCACAGACTCTCACCTCTGGCTTGGGGAAAAGCAGCAGCCAAGGGCCTACAGGGTTTCAGGGAAACCCCTGCTGCCAACCAGGCCAGCACGTGGTCCCGCAGAGGGAGCGGAGACGCATCTTCTTCCGGGAGGAGAGCCAGCCACTCTCGCCTTTCCCACCCAGCGAGGGAGAGAAGCCAGGCCCCTCAAGATGCTTCAGGCAGGTTAGTCCTCACTGCTAAAGCTCGAAGGACCTCGAAGCCAGCGTTAAGGCACGTACTGAACAACAAGGTCACGAGAGAGGCCTTCGGCCCGCCGGCAAGTGGCACCTTCGAGCATCTCGGCCACTCTCTGGTTTACAGGGGAGGCCCACGGGCAATCCCAGACTCACCAACTTTTTCATGAGGTTTCGTGGCGATTTCCTCCCAGGTGTTGGTTTCAAGGTTGTACGCGTGGATCTGGAGGGACAAAGAGGAGCCGTGAGTTCCCCCCCGGCTCTCCCGGCGCTACGATGACGCAGTCGCAGGCTCTGACCCGGGGAGCCACTATAAATAACACCTCCTTTTCATTAAGTGTAAACCCAAAAATAGCTAATCACAGCCAGTGACTAAGCAGGTATCAAACCACCTTCCACGCGTACCAGCTTACTAAAGCTTTCCTCTCCGGCTTTGCTATTCGAGCCCCGCAGCTGAAGAAAAAGAAGGAAAACCCACACCCTCCCGTTCTCAAAAGGGTTTAGAAACACCCAACTCATCCTGCAGAAAAAGCAGGGAACGGAGAGGTAAGAAGTCATGTTAACTGCTGCAGTTCCCACTTTTTTTTTGGAAGCGGAGCGCTATTTAAAGCCTCCTCATGGATCATTTTGGCGTTCAAGACGAATTCACTCTTCCCTCCCAAATTGGAGAAAAGCGTTTACCACAAGAAAGGAGATCAAAGCACATGATTAAGGGAGAAGACAAGAAGAGAGTCATCATATCAATATCTGAATTTAACGCCAAGGAATTCCTTCCTTTGGCACTTTCCTGTTTTGGCACAAACACAACGTTTAGGAAGATGTCACAAGTGTTTTTAAGTGAGAATCGTTGATAACAGGTCTACAGAAATGACGCTGTTTTGCAGACCGCTATGGTCACTGGGTGACCACCTGGAAGCCAGAAGGACACGTTTGTGGCAACCCCAGGTTTTAAAAGAAATAGGAGAACGACCTGCTTCTAGTTGTCTATTTTTTTTTACCAAGCTCTCCAGGCAAAGCCAGATGAAGAGATGGTGCTGGTTACACTTTCCTGCAGACAATTTCCTATCCAGGCAAGCGCTCAAGGTTTCTGATCACCTTACCTTATCTAAGGAATAAGCTGTCCAGGAAGTTCCACCTCCCAAGATATAAATCCGTTGACCATCGTGTGCAATTTCATGTCTGTACCTGAAGGGGCAAAGAAGGACATTCAGCGGCACAAGCAACTCGTGCAAGTGAGCAACCACAAGAGCCTTCTGGAAAACACAATCAGGTTTGAGTGGTCCAAGCAGACAGCCCCGGCCTGACTACGCTTTGGAAGACGTGTGACCCGTGTGACCTGCTCTGGGTGGTCCTGCTCTGGCAAGGGGGTTGGGTTAGGGGATCTTTCGAGGTCCCTTCCAACCCCTAACACTCCGTGATTCTGTGATGTGGGAGCTTTCACGAGCAATCTAAGCAGCGCCCCGGAAACTGGAAAGGTATTTTCTGAGAGCAGAGCACCGGGGAACATAAGTCCAATGATTTATGGAGCACCGTGACGGCCATCGATATTCCAGACTCTTCTCTCACTAGGATGGCCACTGCGTGACCTCCCAGACCTCCTTCCTCCTCGCCTCGCTACAGAATAGGACAAGGGACAGGGATCAACTGGAGCCTCTTCCCCTCCTCCGCGCTCACCAGCTGCCCCAAGTCCCCAGCTCTGTTCTGGCGCCACACGGTTCAGATCAGTGTCCCAGCAAGGGCTCCCCACCCCACCCTACACCCCCCCTGCACACCAGAGAGCCGGAGCACCGGTTGTGCGAGGTTCCCAGCTGCAAACACTGCTCTACCCGTGCCCAGAACCCCGTCCAAAAAGGTGGTAACCAAGTGTAAAAACTCCCCCCAGACTGTCCAGCTTCTCACCTCTCCTCTGGCATGTCACAGGACATATTGTTTGGTTTCAGCTGGATCCACTCCCTAGTGTTGAGGTCTAGCTTATGTAGGTCGGTACTGTAGATGTACCCAGTTGTTCCTCCAAACACGTAGAGGCAACCATTGATGATGGCCATGGCCTGGAAGGGAACGGAGAGAAAGCAGTCAGAAAGGATGTGTGACATCAGTGTCTGAAAAAGAGAGAATTCCTGCTCTCCCAAAGCAAGACTCTGCTTGCAAAGCTCTACCTACAGCTTAGGAAATGAGGTGTTCAGCAGAACCATGAAGGGAAACACAAAAGATGTCGGGGGGGGGGTCTGCAGGAAAAGAAAGTAACTCCCTGGTCACAAGATGAAGACCTAGAATGGGAGCTGCTGAATTTCAGGCATGAGACGAGACAGATCTGTGCAGCAGGGGCTCCCAGGAGCTAAAACCAAAGCACAGTTAACCCTGAATCTCTTCCACGCTACAGATATTGTTACAGAGAACCTTATAAACCAGTTCTCAGCCAGCAGGACTAAGTGTTAACAGAGAAAGCCCCAAGCACAGCGGGTAAGTCAGACCAAACAACAGAGACAGCCTGCACAACTCAAGAGCACGTGGCCCAGCAGCCTACTGAAACGGCCAAGGTGGTGCAGGCTCCAGTCCCCGTTGCAGGCTAAGGTGGAAGCAGAGATGTAAGCTCCTCAAATCAGACACACTTTTTCATTCAACCGCGTCTGGCATTTAGTTAACAAATTTTTGGCTTTTCTAACCACGAGGAACCTTCTCCTTTCTTTTGAAATCTCAAAGAACCAAGATGGTTCTGTTTCTTTATGAACGATACCTGCCTTCCCTTACACTGCTGTACGCAGAGAACAACTCTGGTTACCACCAGAGAAGAGATCTCCGTGCTCTGGCCCTTTTTCTGTGACACACGGCGCAGCAAACACCCAAAGGGCCTCAGCAAGGGCCGCCCTTCGTACCTGGCCGTAGATCCGATTGGGTTTCTTTCCCCGGCAGCTGAGCAGGGCCCATCGTTTGTACTTGACGTTGCAGACGTGGACGTCGTTGCCGTTGCTCTCCCCAAAGGGGATCCCGGTGCCCCCGAACACAAGCAGGTTGTTGCCGTGCAATACAACTAGGAGAGGGAGACAGAGCAGAGACACTTGTTGCTGCGAGATGCAGTAAACCAGGACGACTCTGCTCCGGAGACAGCAGGCAGAGAGGGTTCAATATTGTTCAAATACCTTCCAATCCACGCTACGCATTTATGGCTTGGAAAATGCTCTAAAAGAGAAAGAATGCAAGCTAAAACCATGGTAACCAAAGGCCTGCTTTTAAAAATGGCTAGTGAACAAAGAGATCTATTTTTAGGTGTTTTGAGATGTCTGATTGCACGGAGCCCCTAGCCGCTGAAAGCGCAGCAGTCACATACCTGCAGACCTCCTCTTGGATTTTTCCTTCCCTCTGCCCCAGCCCAAGCAAAAGGAGAAAGAAAAATCCCAACCCCAACCCCAACTCCAGGCCTGCTTGCAGAAAAGTTGGAAACAGGACCCAGATTTCCCAGTTCTCGCCCGGTTTTGCATCCCACCGGAGACACCGAAGAAAAGAACTTCGGGAGCTGGCCCATATGAGTTGAGTTTCCATACGTACGTGACATGGAGGCTAGTTCCCTGGGCATGTAGCCTTCAGTGCCCATTTGGTGCCAGGTGTCTGTGGCAAAGTTGTATCGCCAGAGCTCCCTGAAGAGCGGGTAGTCTTCGTTCTCTGGCCCGCCGGACTCATCGTAGTCAGGATTGTAGCCTCCAAACACATACAGGTTGGCGTTATCCGCCACGCAACGATGGCCGCTTCTTGCTGGTGGAGATCGATGGCCTACGGCAAAAGGAGAAGGTCAAGCAGCTTCAGTGAAACCTTGGCAGAGGAGCTGAGCTTGTGTCCGAGGGTCAGGACTGCACCCGCTGCGGTGCTCCCCCGACAAGAGCGGCTGACGTCGGGCCACAGGGAAGGACGTCTGCAGCCAGGAGGAAACGGCTCTGTAACGACAGATCCGCTTCTCCGAGCAGGAACGGGGACAGCCTCTGCTCGTTCACATCCACTCTAGCCCCTGAACCACACCTAAGGAGCCCTGCCTGCAGGTTGATGTCAAATCCCTCCACGTGGCAATCCTTCCATCAAAGCTGCTTCTGAGATACCAGCTCCCCCTTCTCTCATTCTGTGTGGCAGCTTTCACTCAGGAAACAGCTCCAAAACGTTTATATTTAAAGCTGCCTGGTGGGAACAAGGAAGAAAAGTAACAATTTGCCCTCCCTCCTACACAAACCTTCTCTCTGTTTCTTCCCTTTTGCTCCTGGGACCTTGTATCTCAAGGAGGCTCCTCCACCTTGGACACCCCCTGGGCTTCCTAAACGTTAAGCGACGCAGGTCTGACACGGCAAGTCAAAGTCCGCTCATAGATAAAGGCATTTGCACTGGGAGGGGGCGCAGCAGGGAACCCATCTGAGATCCTACAGGTTAAGCTTGACAACCACCAGACACAGCCCTTCCCAAAAACCACCAGACACAGCCCTTCCCAAAAAGAAGCCCTCTGCCTACCCACCCTCTTCCCTAGAAGGAAATAAGAGTGGGGAGGACAGTTCAAGCTCAGACCTCGACTGGAACAGACAATAAAAAAAAGATTTGATTTGGTCCAGGAAGATCTACCCAGCGATCTTCCTGTGGGACAACAGGAGCTGAAGTCGCAGCTGACAAGCGACCACAAAGCAATTCCGAGCTTGCTCAAACCTGACGCACAGCAAGGGCCAGAGAGTGCCAGGGGTGGAGGTTGTTCTTTGATGAGACACAGGATCACATAATGAACGAGAAAGGTGAAAGGACAAGGAAACCATCGGGTCTCTGAACAAAGGAGCTGGATGTGAGATACCTGGAGAACATCTCAAGCTGCCTAAACCAAGAAGGCTTCAAAAGTACTTTTTTTCTATGCGATACAGCAGTGTTTTGGTGACAGAAAGCTTCATCTTGAGAAGGAGGTCACACAATAGTTCCCTAAAATGTACCATTTCAACGTGTAACCGTCGTCCCTCAAGCACATCCTCTGCTTGTTGCACCTCGAGACAGGCCCGCTTTGGTTCGGTTGGCAACGAAGAGCAAACCAAAAGAACCATCAAAAGAAGATCCCCGAAGGGCCCTCACCCCAACAACCCCGCGATCTTCACCACCCACCTGCTCTCACAGCTCTTTTACGACCTTTTAGGATGGAACAGGACCCAGGGAAGCATCTAATTAGGACCCTTCGTGTTTTCTTCTTAGAGCCTGTTACAACTCCCGGCAGCGAATCAGACATGTGGAGCAATAACAAATGAGGCCTCGAGCATCTTTCTTGCAGGAAAGGTGAAATAAATGATTTGTCCAGACTGCAAAATGAATTTTAACTCGGCACAAGCAGCTTTGCTTAAGCCCGTTCCCCGTTTGCTGGTGCTTTAAGCTCCAACTCTCGTCCAAAATTAAGCTGCTCTACAGGGTTCAGACAAACTCCTTGCGGCTCAGTTGTGACAGATTTGGGTTGTTTCCAGTAATAATTGTGTCTCGCAGCAATCCCCACTTAGAAAACTAATAAGCACGGGCTGAAAGAGAGGGGAAGAAAGTTAAGGAGTGAAGGGAAAAATCTGTAGTCTTTGGCCCGGCTACTGAGACAGCGCAGTGCCATCGGGCAGCCGGCGTGGCACGGGCACTGGCACACAGGAGGGGTGGGAATTACGTGTACTAATAGCGGCAGCCAGCAAGCTACCGGCCTCAGTGCTGGTCTAAACTGGTAAAACAAAGAGGACACGCTTTAGAGGTGATTCTTTAAAGAGACATCCGTCCCTTGGGGCTTTTTTATTTTAAACTCTGAAACAATCCAGAGAGATGGATTCATTTTTTAACACACTGACCATGAAGGTATTTACAATCAATCCTTCAGACTCATAATCAGAGATGCTTCGAGACAGCAATTCCTCTGATCCTGAATACCTGCAAACCAAACGGTGCTTGAGAAGGGCCCGTGCCTCGCTGCAGCCCGCAGAGGCTATCCTAGCCAAGCTGTGCCCGGCCAAAGGGAGCTCCTCCTGCTCGTTTCTTCTCCTGTGTTTGCCCTGAAGGTCTCCAGGAAGACCTGAAGGAACTGAAATGGGAGCTTAACCGCAGCGAAGACTGGGAGCACTGATGCACACACTTTGCAGGGGCGTGAGGATTTAATTCAATCACCCGTTGAATTTACAAGGTGTTAGGGAATTAGGAGTTCAAATCTTAACTATAGATCCTATTTCCCTCTAGCTGTAATTCTTGCCGTGAGAATTTTCCAGAGGGAACAGAGGAGAATAAGGCTGAGTTTTATATAAAGCCAACAGACGAAGGAGTCAGAGGCATCATTCAAAGACAAGAAATTAAAAAGCAAAACCAAGGAGGCCGCCTCTGCCGCTCGCCTCTCAAAATTAAAAAGGGAAGACCCCTGACTTGGCCATAAAGCCCCAGAACAGTTACATTTCGACAGCCAGGGATCAACGTTGGATGTGCAGATAGCAAGATGGGTACAGAAAGCCCAGGCGCAGCCCAGCCGGTTTCACCTCTTCCCAGTTACCTGGAAACCCATCCCCTATCTTTAAAAGACAATGTTTTCCAAGGTATATTCCAGACGCAGAAAGGGCGTCAGAAGCCGGAGCTGGTGTCAAACAGATACCAACCAAGAAAGGATCACCCTTCCCACGTGGCTCCTCCACATCTGCCGCTACTTCCCCGCCTGTCCCCCCTACTCTCACCAACAACTCAAGGGCTCTGAGTGCCACAGGAACACCTTTTTCAACTCAACACTCACTCAGTAACTGTCCTTTGTCAGAACTTAGCGATCCTCAGGGCAGAACTAGCAGCAGCAACGATGCCTGTCCCTGGTCACACATTCACAACTCAGCTGCTCAGGGGAAATCCACTGTCCTCAGGGTCAAGCTGAACACCAAAAAGAGCGGCCGAAATGCTTCCTCCCGCTGTGCCTGCTACGCGGTGGTGGCTCCCGAGGAAAGGAAGGCTGGAAATGCCAACCAGAGCAAGGTTTCCAAAAACTCAAGGCCAACCCTTGTAGCTACCAACACAAGCACTATCACCTCGCTGTGCTCGAGAAGAACGGATTTTCTCTCTGTTCCAGCAGACCCCAATTGCGCTTGCTCAACACCATGTTCCACGTGCAAGGACCGACTTCTCTCCAAAGGCTTCATGTTTCCAGCCTGCTGTTTATAAGCTTTGCTCTTCACTGACCCATTTGTCTCAGTGGACTAGATCCTCCCGCTCGCAGAGGGCCAGAGAAGATGACATACCTACCCATAAAACCGGGAAGGAAATTACCCAGCACATCTTCTGCGCCACCTACGCAAGCACTCGCGAATGTATCAATGAGCTGAACAACGTTGAACTGAGTTAAATTGTCACCAAACTTCTATTCAGAATCGAAGTGACCTGAATTCACTTCAGAAGAAAGGTTTAGGAGAAGATTCCTCCCTTAAAGAAGAGACTTGTAAAAGCTGGATCTATTTAAGAGTTAATTCAGGTTAGTTTCTTCAGCAGAGAAGCTCTGTGACTCGCACCTCCAATAAAGAGCCGCATTTCCATTTAATTATGTTTTATCAGATGATTCACCTCTTACCGCAACTCCTCATGCAAGCCGGGGATCTGTTCTTCGCCCCAGCCGTTCGCAGCCTATGACACAAGGGCAAACTTCAGAGGGTGCAGGAAGATGGGAACCCCCAAGGGTTTGCCAGCTTCCTCCTCTAGTCAGCGATGCCCAGCTCCCCAAAAGCTCAACCCGCCGCAGCCTAAAGGAGCGCCCAACACCAGGCGAAGCCCAGCGCCGTCCCCGCGAAAAGCCGCACCAATTCTTGGACGCTGGACGTGGAAAGGAGCAGCACGATGTACCGAGACCCATCTGTGGGAAAGAGGCTGTAAAGCTCGTTATGGAAAAGGGCTTTAAAGTGGATGGATATAAGGTGGAAAGCACTCGCTTCTCCCAGTTTAAGACTCCAAAGCGGAGCAGGAAGGAAGGATGGAAGGTGCATTCACAACGAGACTGCTTTTCCTTGCTCCTCAAGGCAGAAAAGGGAACAATAAATCTTTCAGAGACTAAGAATGTCACGACAGGGATGTCCCGATTTACGACTAAGCTACCGGACAGAAACTTGCTCGCTGGCCACACGCCGCCCTGTTAACGCCCTCTTCAATTCACCCTTTTCAAGCGATTCACGGAGTGACTTCAGAGGGAGCTGCTCGGATGGCCCAGATTGACTTCGGTAAAGTGGATTCCTAATTGAATACCTCTCCTGCAAGAGGCAGTACTAGGAGAGTAAGCAAAAAGGCGGCAGGAATATCTGTCCCCGAGGGTCCCGATGTGACACAGCCCAGCAACCAAGCCATGAGATGTTCGTTCCCTACCTCTCCAAACACTCTGAACACAGAATAGGTCTGGGGCAAGCAGGAGGTGAAAACAGAGAAAAGAAAAAGAAAATTCAAAGAAATGATTTTGGAGGAGAAAGCGTAATGGTCCTGCATGGTGTCCCACAAGCCTCCCATTCAAAATGTCCCTCTTAGGAGGAGGAGGAAGCTGCAGGGCGCCTGCTGGTGCAGAAATACCGTTCCTATCCTGACTAACATCAGCTTAAAAGTTTATCAAATTCCAACTGGGGGGGCGGGGGCCTTGACAGCGACAGAAATCTATGGAAGGCCTGGAGAAAAACAAACCAACCACCACAAAAATCCCCCGGCATCAGCAGATTACTTGAAGTTATTGAGCAGATTAAATGCTACCAGCATGCCCGGAACCACAGCGTGTGTCAACAGCTACGCTCGAGTCCACTGGATTTCTCTACCGCTTTTCAACAGCTTTAATAGTAAAGTTATAGGAGAAAACGAAGCTGCGAAGCAGCAAGTGGTTGCCCTGAATCACAGGCAGCACAAATGGAAGGCGAGAGGCGCTTCAAACAGAGCAGCACAAAGACAAGTTTCGAAGAACAAAGGCGTTTTCTTTCCATTCGATTATCCTGCCTTTCATGACTGCAGGGAAACCAAACCGCTGGCATCATCTCGCTGGCTAGGTTAAACAAGAGGGGAGTACCTGCTATTCGAGGCAGTAAGCTAGCCAGCTGGCCTTTTTATTTTTAAACAAGAGGGGGGGGAAAAGCTCTAATTAGCTGAATTCATTTCTTAAAAATAAAAATAAACAATGAAAGAGCTGAATATGAGTTGTTTTGAGAGCTGGCCTGAAACCATCCTTCTTCTTATCATGCCCACGCTGCCAGAGAACCCCCCACATCTATTAATCAACGAGAAGCTCTTGGCAGAGAGTGAGGTCTGCCTATGCCCCCAGGTTCTGCAGAATTTAAGTTCTCTTTCTAAGGGAATTTTCCCTCATCGCCACCGCGCCTGGTTACCAGTTCGCAGCAAACCAAGGCAGCGCTGTTCTCCCGAGGCGGCAAATCCACCACTGCTGCCTCCCCTTCGAGGCCAAGGGTCTGGGCTGTCCCACCCTCTGCT